TTACAAGAAAACAGGACTCCCTTGAAAAGACCATAACGCTGGGAAAAGTTGAAGGCATTAGGAAAAAGGGAAGATTTCACACGAGGTGAATGGACCTTCATTCAATTGACATCGACCTTCCGTTTGCAAGATTTTTTGGAGGTCATTAAGTCATTGGAATGTCAAAATTCAGAAGCGACTTGACCGCGCATAACTGCGAAAAAGACCTTCAATGGCTACTAATCAGGATAACGGCACATCATCTCCCTTATCAGAGGCCACGCGCCTTTCTCTGTCGACGGCGAGTGAATGTGAGATGGCGGGTGCCGATTAAATAAGACTTTGGTCTGCCCCAGCCGTGCTTTTTTACTTGCACGAAGTCTGGCCGATCCCGAGACGATCTGTGAAATACAGACCACGGCCCTCACATACGCTCACGCAGGTCCGATTTTGCCCCTTTCAAGGCGCTGCACGTCACGTCTTTCTTTGAAACACTTTTAGACCACATCAGGAGCAGAAAGGCTGAGCGCACAAGTTAGCCTGGCGAGATCAGATGGTTATCACCGTCATGAACAATAGGAAAAGGGTAGAAAAAAAATTAAAAATAGCTCCTTCAGGCATGGGAAGCCTAATAAATCAATAGGGAGAGAGAGAGAGGAAACGTGAGTCATTTTGTAATAAAGAGGATTATATTAAGTCACTCAGGGGATCCAACGCCAGCTCGGGGTACAATGAGAGAACTGTGTACATGTAAGTGATGTAACTCCAGAGTCAATTCCCTTACGTTGTGGATGTCAACCTCGAGTCGCCTACCTCCTAATCCGACAGGATCAAACGTAGTCCATGAGCAGAGGCTTGACGGCAGGACTGCAGTCTATAGCTGGGGCTTTGCTCTCATTGGTCTTGAAGGAGACATTTGGATTCTTCAAATGGCACTTTCCAGATTTTGTTGGGTATTACATCGTCTTCTGCAGGAGATGCCGTCTCTCCTGATAAGCTTGTTGCTGTTGTGGTTCTATGCTGCAGGAGAAAGTGCCCGTAACAAGATGTTGGATGCATGACTAAATATAAAACTCCATTGCGCCACCTTCATCAGCCGAAGCAGATGCCAATTAATCAAAGCTGAATGTGACTAACCGGTGAGTCACCGGTGGGATGGCAGATTTTAATTATAGACACAATGGAATGGAAGTTGAGCAGTAAACTTGTAAAGGCTCTTTAAGCCGCCCTGGAGTACAGTGAAAATGCCACGTTCCCATCCTTCTGAGTGCTCGACGACAGCTTTATTTTGAACGTCAGTGCAGAAGAACAAGCTTGTATGTGTCTTGAGAGGACCAGATCCTTTTCGTCTGGGTGTTTCTCAAAATGCTAAACGACAGCAGAAATCTTCCCCTCTAGATGCTTCCTTTAGAAAGACCTCTCCTATATTCTAAAACAGTGCATGATCACTGCACATGGTGACAGCAGCCATGAAATTAAAAGACACCTGTTCATTGGGAGGAAAGCGATGACAAACCTCGACAGCATCTTAAAAAGCAGAGACATCACCTTGCCAACAAAAATCTGAATAGTCAAAACTATGGTTTTTCCAGTAGCGATGTATGGAGCTGAGAGCTGGACCATAAAGAAGGCTGGCCGCCGAAGAATGGATGCTTCTGAATTGTGGTCCAGGAGGAGGCTCTTGAGAGTCCCCTGGACTGCAAGGAGAACAAACCTATCCATTCTGAAGGAAATCAACCCTGAGTGCTCACTGGAA